GAGAAATATGTATTGATAGCAACATAAATGAGTCATAAAATATTTTCGTTAGCTTTTTTATCTCTAAGGGATTTTTGTTTCTCCCCATCTAGTTTGAAAAAAGGTGAGAGAACCGCTCTTTATGAATGACGACATACCCTCTGACAAAAGTGATGATGCGATATGATTGTAGAGGTCACCTTTTGGCAAAGTACGGTTGTGGCTATAATTTACATGTAAAATCATTGTGGTTGGATCATGGTCATAGATCATATCATAGTTTGACAAGCCGTAAATGTGTTGTTGGTTTGAGAAGTCACAAATTACTATTATAAAATGAATTAATTTAGTCATTCAACATAGGTAATCAGAAATCAGTATCATCCTCAGTAGATAGAAGTAGGAACGATTTTGTGTGAAGAATAAAATAAAATAAAGAACATGTCATGATTTATTTGATTTTTTATACTTTCGGCATGATTGATTTGATTGATATGATATGACTATGACATGATGGATTTAATATTTTTTAATAAAATAAATAATTTTTATAATTAATAAATAATCCCAATTGGCATCAGGACGTCACACTATTTTTCTAAATATGAAATGTTTGAGAATTTATAAGAAAAATTATATATTTTTAAGAAGATATAGTTGAACTCATCATATCCGAGAGAGATGATATATGGTCCCAACAGTCATTGATCCATGATAGGCTAATCTAACCTAAACTTCTCCTTAAAATCATGGTCCACTATGCCCACCTAGTAAGAGTGGTTATGGATAGTTAATGAGGTTATTATGGTGCTTAAGAGATATAAAGAGGAGAGATAACTGTTTTTAATAATTTAGAGAACTATAGATGAGAAGAACAATTCTAAGATAAAAAGTAGATAGACCTTTACAAAAAAAAAAAATTATGATTGATTAAGTGATCGATAAACATATTCAAGATATTTAAGAATCGAGAGAGAAAATTTGCATTCAAATAATTTTAGAAATTTACATGTTTTCAAACAACTATTTCATTTGTGTAATAATTTGAGTAGATTCTTATCTTCCCTACAGTTTTAAAAATATAATTTTAATTTTTTCTAAAAAGAAATTTAGAACTTTAACTTTTTCAATTGGCTGAATTACCTTTTTCTTATTTCTCTCAATTTTTACATTTGTCTCTTAGTTTCAGATATCTTTTGTTTTCCAATTACTAAGCCTTTTTCTTATTTATTCCATACCAACTGTATTACCATCGTGTTCTTAGAGAAAATTATTGCCACCAAAATTTATTTGTTTTTATTTTTGGGAATTTTCAAATGTTTCTTGAGTTCATATTTTATTTTTTAAAATTTTTATTAACTAAAACTAACAAAATAAAATTTGTCTATCACGAAAAAGAAATTAAAATTTCCACATATTTGTCATACATCAAATAATTAATTAATTTTGAAGTCAATTGATTATATTTTATAATTTTGTTCAGTAATTTAGCTTTTTGTTTTCTTTAAAACATAATTAACATTCTAAACGACCATTATATGGATATTTAAATTTACTGTGGTGAACAAAAAAAAAAGTTTATTTATTTCTTTGTTTATGAAAAACTAATAAATAAAAATGTTTGAATGTATCGTAGATGAACCAATTTAATAAATAAAAAAGTTTACTAGTTTTTTTTATTAGAACATAATTAGCATTCCAAATGATCATATCATATGGATATTTAAATCTACTATGATGAATGAAAAAAAAATACATTGATTTATTGTTTACTAAAAACTATAAACAAAAACATTGGAATGTAATAGCAAAAAAGACACTTCTTAAACAACGTATATTAAGAGATTCATTAAAACTAGAATGAAAAGATGTTTTAAAATCATTTTAAAAAAAATTAATCCTCACACGATACCAACTTTGATTTAGAAGAACACATTTGATTCAACTATCAAATCCTGGTTCAATAATTATCCCATTTAAGTTGAATTAACCAATAGATTATATTATATGACCGCGGACTGATAAACTACAGTAAGTTTGACCTCCTGGTCATATATCCATTGTCAAAGGAAACCAATTAACCCCTCTATCTTATTTCACACAACCCTGTAAAAATTATTCTTGAATTTTGACAGTTAAAACCCGAGAGGAAGTTGCAGAGTATACAATATACTAACTGAACCTAATAGTTGTAAAATTGCCAAGTACACAGAGCATGACTAAGTTATGAGGCTGTAGTTGGTAATTGAATGTTTTAAACTGCATTTGAAAGCTCTCACTCCCTCAACTCCCCAAACTGATAGGAGGAAAGAGTAAAGATCTAGAAAGACCTAGTATATGAATAAAGATGATACACAAACACGCAAACATTCAATTAAACCTATTCCTTTTTTGTGAGACTTTTGCAATCGGCAATCTCTCTGAATATCAGCCATAAGTCAAAACTATGATTAACCTTTTAAGCATCTCGTGCAGATTGGTACAGGCTCAACTCAAGAACCAATTCAACATTTTTTTCCCACTAACTCCTTTGTGTTTCCTGTTAACTCGTGCTGTAGTCAGGCTGCCCTCCATGGCTCCACCTGCATCGGTACTCATAATTATCAGCACACTTTGAGTAGTAGCAAAAATACATTTTTAAGAAAGTAAAAACTTAGGTGCCACTATATTTGGAAGTAGACGGAACAAGTCAACAACAGCATCACCTTTGTAAATGGTAAATTAGAGACGAAACTAGGTGACAGAGAATCAAAGGAATCTACTGGTGAGTTACCTACTTCACTTATACTGTTCACATAGAATGTCATTGTTCCAACTGGAAGTTGGAAATAGACACTAGTTTTGTCTCATTTAAGGTATTTTCCTGCCTACGATGTGTCTTGATACTCCACTGATTTTAAAAGGGAAAAGGAAAAAGACAAGTCTTGTTTGATTAACATACAGACCTATTGAGCACCATCTTCAGAGAATCTAGCGTCAAAAGGGGCAGAAGGATGGGCATGTGCTGAACCAGCAGGTGCTCCAGTACCATGTTGCAGTTCAATAACCAGCCATCGAACAGCTTTGCTCATCTGTTCCAATCGAACTGCACTGATTGGAGAAAGACTAGCTGTCGCAGCAAGCCCCGTCTTTCCAGCCGTTGAGCCAGTTGCCTCATCCACCAGGCACTCAGATCCTATCCGCTGCTTGACAGATTCCACAAACTCCTCCGACTGATCACAAGCCACCCTGAACAATTCCCACTTTTGCTTGAAGTTTTCTAGAGCAGCATCAGTGGCTGTTGTTTTCTGGCCACCAGAAATTTCCTTGGCCTCAAGCACATTTGCCGCTGCAGCAACAAACTCCTGATATGCAGTGTTTAATGAATCTACGATATTGTCCATTATGGCAATCTTGAGCTGGAAATATAGTTGAAACTGAAGAAGTACTGTTTACAGTGAAAGGATTGATCATTTATGAAATTTAAAGAGGATTATTGCATTAAAACACAGAGCAATTCACATGACAATAGTTGTACAGATGAGATATAAAAACTGTATTACCATTAACTAGACTTGTGGTACTCTATTTTTTGGGCAAAAATAGTTCTTAATTGGACGAGTGCATGATACCTTTATGTCCCATCTCAATATCCTAAGCTCACTTTTCATATAGAAACCAGGGCTAGTAACCATATGTGTCTATTTTTATGTATGTTTGATTCATCATTCATTTGGTTGAAAACTCATGAAAGGAATAAAAAATAACATTAGCAGTTGCACACTAGTATGGGCCAAATCAGTAATTTACACGGGGTTGAGGAAAGAAAAGTAGATTACTTTTTGGCAGTTCCTAAGAAATATTTTTGTCAAGAACCAGCCTAGTAGCAGGAAAGAAAAAAAATTGAATTTCTGTTAGGATAACTAATTCTATTAAGGTTTATTTTGTTGTTTTGGTAGTGGAATAGTACTGTTAATAATAGTTTTTGATTGATGTGTATTCCACTGAATATTACAGCACTATATATATAGATTTTCTAGAACAAAAAAGAAAATAAACAAATAATTATAATTAATTACATAGAATATAATACTTGCACCTTTAGACTTGCAATAATTGCAAAGAGTACTATATATATTTTATTATACTTGTACCTTTAGACTTGCAATAATTACAAAGAGTACTTGAGTATTTTATTACATTTATACCTTTAGACTTCTCAAGGTTCTCCAAGTGACTTCACAGCCATTCAATATCGGCCTTAAAAGCAGTGGGATCAATAGGCGCTTCCACCTCCCATTGATTAGCTATATGAACTTGTTTAGGAATTTTTTACAAGAAATTTTCACATCCCCATTCTTTACAGGAGTTATTGGATTTGCCATGTAATTTTTAACACTTCTCTCTAGTGTGTTTAGACTTTTTACAAAAGGTAGACCAAATATTATCCCTATTATCGACTCCTAGAGTTGCAATCTCAAGGTAACTTGCTTCTTTTGAATGTTGACGGGGTTTAGAACCTCATGAAATTAGAGCTAAACTATGAACGAAGCGAGGTTCGAGCATGATCTCTCTCCTGCTTTCTTCTAATGTTATGATAGAAACTCGAGTTCACATGAAACCACCTGACCCGACCCTTCCTAACTCGAATTTTGAAATTCAAAAACTTCCTCTAGTCTGGGCCTTCCAGGAATCCCAGCTTGACCCAAACTGCGGCCCAATATAATTTGGGTTCAAAAGAGTCAAATCATCAGCAAAAAAGACCAAAATTCTCCTGGGCTGAAAAGGGCAAATGGATTAACCAAGCTGAATAAAGCAAAACTATAAAAAAAAGGGGGGGCAACTCTAGGAAGAAATCTCATAAAGTAAATTGGGCATGGAGAAAAAAGAAAGTTCCAAGCCTGACAAAAGGAAAAGGTCAGGAAACCCTAGCCACTCCAGCAAAGTCTCTGAACCCAACACTCCCTGAGGGCCTCTCTGGCCTCGCCTTCTTCCTTCACTAATAGGGTCGTAAATGTCATGGCAACCCATGCTATTTACACTAACTCATGGAATACAGACCAGATTACTTTCCACAATCTGTTTACGGTCCTGTCGGAAGAAACTTTCTTGAATATGAACTTGAATTTGATGGTCCTTCCAGTTGACAATGACCAGATTAACCTGAGTTCTGATTGTAATGAGGGGAATGAATTGGCCGAAGTCATTACTTCACTGGATAGGATACTGAACGACAATCAAAGGTATGACCCGAAAATCTTCTCAGACTGGATTCACTGAAACATTTTCTGCATTAGCAGATTCCTTGGCTCTTCTTGTTTTAGTTTTGAAATGGAAACAGAATCTCTACTGTTGGAGTTGGGTAAAAAAGATGGAGGGCAATCAATTTGGTCAGCTTGCTTTAAGCACATCTAACAAAAAGCAAAATGTTGGAAAATCAAGGGAAGTCAAGAGGCTTCAATTTTCTATCAACTACGATGGGCGTAACAAAAAGTGCAATGGAACTGGGGGTGAACCTGTTTGCTTAGATGACAAGTAGAATCCTCTTTTTGAACGTCGGGGGTCTCAATGATCAAAGAAAAATGGTCATCATACTCCTCTATTTTCAGGCTGTCCTGGGGCTTAAAATCAACCTTCACAAATCGAAATAGATGATGTTGGGCAACAACAGTTTGGGTGATTCCCTGGTGCAGGTTATGGGTTGCAAAAAATTCACTTTGCCTATCTCTTACCTTGGTGTTCCCCTTGGCGCAAAGCACAAAGACATCAAAAGTTGGGATCTTGTCATGGAAATGGTTCACAATAGACTTGCCAACTAGAAAAGGAAATTCCTCTCCAAAGGAGATAGATTGACTCTTATCAAAAGCACCCTCTCAAATCTCCCAATTTACGACCTATTGGCGCTCCATATTCTTGTCAATGTGGCTAAAAAATTGGAAACAATTCAGTGTAACTCCTTGTGGGGTGACAATGACAACACAAAAAAGCTCCACCTTATCAAATGGGCTGATGTCAAAAAACCATTCACAGATGGCGGTTTAGGCCTTCGATCCTTGAGCATTCTCAATAAAGCTCTCTGCTCAGGAAGTGAATTTGGAGATTTTGGAACGAAGAAGGTAGTCTTTGGAAAAGGGTAGTTGATTATAAATGGTTTATGGCAACCCACATGATCTCACCTGTATCAAAAATTCCACTTATGGGTTGAGTCTTTGGAAAGGTATCATGAGGCTCAACAATAACATCCTACAATGCTCTAATTGGACTCTTGGAAGGGGTAACAAGATAAGATTCTGGGAAGACATTTGGTGTGGTGAAGAGAATTTCCAATCTAAATTTCCTCTCATTTATAAGATCTGCAGCAATAAAAACTGTCTGCTTGGTAATATGTTTAGCAATGGTAACCCTGGTGGGTGGAATATCAATGTTACTAGAAATCTTAATGATTGGGAAGTGGAGGAATATGAGAATTTACTCAATACTGTGAACAACCTTCGGCCCTCATCTCACAAAGACAAGCTCTGCTGGAAACTAAAAAAAAATGCTCAATTCTCTGTCAAGTCCTACCATCACTTGAACCAGTCCAACAATAATGTTTCAAGGGACTTTCCTTCAAAAATCATCTAGAAATCTAGTGCCCCACCCAGAATCTCTTTTTTCGCTTGGGAGGCTGCATTGGAAAGGATTGTCACTATTGACAACTTGATGAAAAAAGGCCTTCCTATGGTAAACAGATGCTTTCTTTGCAAACTCAGCCAGGAATCCTGCAACCACCTTCTCCTTGGCTGCCCTCTCTCTTATAAATTATGGTCTATGGCTTTGGGTCTCTTAGGCCTATCTTGGGCGATGGCTGGCACGATCAAATCTGAAACTATGATACCATGTTAAGAATGATTTTTTAATTGAATTGTATTCCATTGAATATTACAATCCATATACAAGTTCCCTAAAACAAAAAATAAAACAGACAATTGATTACAAAGGGTATTGATAGTGTCTTAAAACGACATCATTATCACCCACTTTTGAGTTGTTAAACTTGATGGTATGCTATCTAATCCGAGTTATTTTCTATATTTTGTTGTAGGATAGGATATAAAGACGAAATAAAAAAAACAGCATGAAAAGAGAAAGTGTTCGTGAAAAGAATTATCAGCCCAAAAACAAGCCTTGGGTAAGACTTAGGTCCAGCAGAGAGATGACTTAGCCTTGGAAGGCTAAAAGTCGCGCACAACAGTAGATTTAAATTAAAACGTATATTTTTAAATCTGAAAAAGATCTCCTTCCAGCCAAGATCTAAGACCGAAAATCAAGAAGAGATTAGTTTGGAAAGTTAGGGATAAGCCAAAAATTAAGAAAAAATATCCTAATCAAAAAAAGAAGAAACTCTAGCTCCTTTTTGCTATATAAATTGTGGCTGCCAAGCAGAACAATGATCCATATGAAACTATGATACCATGTTAAGAATGATTTTTTAATTGAATTGTATTCCATTGAATATTACAATCCATATACAAGTTCTCTAGAACAAAAAATAAAACAGACAATTGATTACAAAGGGTATTGATAGTGCCTTAAAACGACATCATTATCACCCACTTTTGAGTTGTTAAACTTGATGGTATGCTATCTAATCCGAGTTATTTTCTATATTTTGTTGCAGGATACGATATAAAGACAAAACAAAAAAAACAGCATAAAAAAAGAAAGAGTTCGTGAAAAGAATTATCAGCCCAAAAACAAGCCTTGGGTAAGACTTAGGTCCAGCAGAAAGATGACTTAGCCTTGGAATGCTAAAAGTCACGCACAACAGTAGATTTAAATTAAAACGCATATTTTTAAATCTGAAAAAGATCTCCTTCCAGCCAAGATCTAGGGCCAAAAATCAAGAAGAGATTAGTTTGGAAAGTTAGGGATAAGCCAAAAATTAAGAAAAAATATCCTAATCAAAAAAAGAAGAAACTCTAGCTCTTTTTTGCTATATAAATTGCGGCTGCCAAGCAGAACAATGATCCATCTTCTTCCTGACACTGTTCACAGCAACAATTGTAGATTCCGCACCCTCTTTTCAGCTATTTTCTTCTCTTTAATCTTCAAAAACTCGTTTTGTGTTAAAATCCACCACGAGTGGCTAATTTATTTCCTTTTTCTAGTTGAAATTTGGTAAACTCCAGTGATGTATTTGTGATATCAAATTGAGTTAGTTTGTATTTTATTCAAATCTTGGTATTTATTTACTTCCTGCACCTATAAATATTTATCGTTTTGAATCCATCGAACACGTGTAGAAGCTGCAAGCAATTAGCCGAACCACTCAAATCCGTAATTGTTTGAACGGTTTCGACACCTAATAGCGATCAGTGTCGCACTGAGAATGTAAGTAATCTGATTGACTGGTTCACGTAGATAAATCCAACAACTTGAATCAGGTTCTTTTAGTTTTCAAAACCGTTAGCAAGTTAAATTTTGTGTATGTTCCCAAAATTGTTTGGTAGCGAAAAACCAACTAATGAACGTTTCTTAATTGGTTTAAAAATAAGGAATGATCGGTTGTCGGAATATTTCTGATAACTATAACTAATTTGCTATAATTTAAATAAAATAAATTCTTGCATTTATGATCAATTACGTTATTGGAACTAGCTATTTTATCAACTATGAATTTTTCTTATAATTGTTTTAGTTTCTAACTTGCAATTAAGAGTTCAGTTTATATTACTTTACTTATTTTCTATTTCATATTTTGCATTGACGTTGAATTTATAAAAACTTCCTTTTGTTTACTTTTTATTCGTTGGTCAGCATAGAAAATTGGTTTCCAATTTTCTGTGAATTTGACCATTCTTACCACTACTACAGTATTGTTTTATTAGTTAATTAGGAATTTATTTTTTATGGATTCGATACTCGTCAGGTATAATTTTCTCCTTTAACCTAATTTTTTTCCTCTCTAACCCTTGATTTATTTTCTCTTTAATATCTTAATTTATTTCCTCTTTAATATTCTGATTTACTTATTTTTTTAATATTTTGATTTATTTCATCTCTAACACACTGAGTTATTTCCTTCATAACACTCTGATATACTTCATTTTTAACACCTTAATTAACTTCCTTATTAACATCATGATTTTCTTCATTTTAACAACTAATACATTGCTTAAGAACTGTGCAAAAGTAAATCTACTTTTTCTCCTCAACTCCATGCACGAATTTGTCCTAACACACTCTATTCTTATGCTTGCATTTGTCCTACGAAAGAGGCAACAAAAAATGTTAATGAGAAAAGATCTTAAGTTCCATTTCTTGAACATAGACATAAGTTTACAAATCATATTCTCTTCTAGACTTGAAATATAGACAAATAAAATCAAGAATTTCGCATCTTAGCTAGAATTTATACCACATGCATCATACCTATGGTTTTGCACCTATAACTTGATCCCTTTATTTTCTTTACCATGTAAACATCACCACTTTACCAATGGCATGCTTCATTCTCCAACAAATCAATTGAAATCCCATATGAATAAGAATCCAAACAAGACAACAGAAAGTGACTAATTCACTTTCATTCTTAAGAATTAGACTTAATGAAAATGAAGAGACATCAAACATTCAAATAAAGAGGAATTAAACCTAGCAATGTCTTGTGAGTCGGAAATTATCATTTCAAGTTCAATCAACAGATCCACAAGTAAACATATCATTAGGAATCATCATCCTCAATCATTCACCCAAAGCAGGAACAAGATTATTACTCTAAATTTATTATCCACATTCAACCAAAGCTTGGCATGAACTCCATTTTCATTTCCGTTTTCACTGATTAAACTATTAAACATAAAGAGAACTGAACTTTAGAATGAAGAAATAATACCTTTGGTGAACCCGTGATGGCGAAGGTCCGCTCCTGGAGTCAGCCTCCTTTCTCGGCCACCCTACTGCTTTCTTGTTCCCACTCTTGGTTTCCTCTGTTTCGGGCTCTCTCTCTCACTCGGATTCTCTCTTCCAAGGGTTCGCCGCTAAGCTTCTCGCTCTCTCAGATCTTTTTCTCTCTTCTGCGAATCCCCCTTCGAACCCACCTTCTTCTTCCTCGGGCTCTCCTTTTATAGGAGAGGAAAGATCTTCATTACTATGGTGCCGCGATTACCCGATCTTCCTTGCACATTATCTCCTCTATTTTCCTTCCTTTCTTTCTTTCTTTTCCTTCTTCTTTCCTCTTGCTTTCTTCTTTCCAGCCGCCACCTGCTCCTTCTGTTTCGTCCACCAGAAACCCTAAGGTTTCTGTTTTGTCCTTTAGTAAACGGCTTCCGGAGTTAACAAAACGACGTTGTTTCAGGCCCTTGGAAAAGGGTATTGTTTTGTCTCTTTTGTAGCCCGGCTTGGATACCATGCAAACAATAAACCCGATCGATTTAATTGACTAAAGAAAATTTTGTTCGTTGGTTCAATTAATTGGTTAAACTGATATAATTCGATTTTTAACTGAAACTTTATTAATTTTTTGGTCCGGTTTCGATTCTAAATTCATGGAACCAATAATTTTTTAAGATATCTTAAATATATAAAATAGTATTATATATATATATATAATATAAAATATAGATTATATATTATATACAATATAATATACAAAAATATATGTATTGCACATAATATATTTAATATATAAATAATATATTAAGATTTGAAATTAAAACAAAAAAAGTTAATTTTTTGTTATTCAATTATCAACTTAACCAATCGAGATTATTAGATCAGTTAATGTGATTCGGTTAGTTTTTTCGATTTAAAAAATCTTTAATTCAACCAACCGAATGCATACTTCTAAATGCATATTGTTGAATGAATCATACAATTTTGATCTGCTTTGCTCATTTTCCTTCCTTTTTCTTTTACTAGACTCTTCTTCTCCTTTTCCCTTGACTTAATTTTCATGCCTCATTACTTCTTTCTTCTTTGTCTTTTCTTTTCTTCCATCTTTTCTTTCATTCTTCTTTTTTTCTTCAATTTTCTTTTCTCAAAATAAAATAAAATAAGATAAAAACAAAATAAAGTGAAATAAAGATAAAACAAAAAATGGAGCACCAACAACAACAGATGAAAATAATAATAGTAGTAATAATATTATTATTATTAAATTGTGGAGGAGAAAAAATTTCATTGAATTTCTCACCGCTTAATAAAATTTTCTTGTCATTATTGATACTGGTGGCACTTGAAGAGTGATACTTTACTTGTTCCTATTACATGGGATAGTTTTCTGGATGCTTTTTATCAGAACTTCTTTTTTATCTGGGTTCATGAGAAGAAAGAAGATGAGTTTTAGGAGCTCAAGCAGGGTCGTGTTTCAATTAGTAATTATGCTGCCAAATTTGTTCAGATTTCTAGGTTTGCAATAGAGTTGGTCTCCACTGAGGCTAAGCAGGCCTGATAGTTTTTGAATAATGCGTAATTAGTAGAAGAGTTATTTGCTGCTCGTTTTAAACAAGCTAGTGGTTTTCAGTTTCCTGATCACCTAAAGAGGAAACAATCATTGCAGGGCCCAGTTGATAAATGACCTAGAGTTATTAATTGTTATTGTTCCACCATCATTAGGTACAGTTATTTCTTCTACTACTATATGTAAGGATTGTGAAAAAAATCATGGCAACCGTCCTTGTTTCAAGACAACAAATGCATGATTTAATTGTGGGAGAACCGAGCATCATGTGAAGGATTGTCCTTAGTCGCCTTATAAACTAGTTACTAGGGGAAGGGTGTACTGGTTGGTTGAGTTTATGTTGAGGCTACTCCTGCAGTCATTGAGGGTACGCTTTTTTTCTCTGACTCTTTTGCACATGGCTTAATTGATTTTGGCGCAACTCATT